GAAGGGTTTCAGGTTTCATATACATGATTTTGGAGGTTTTAGGAGGACTTACGTTTTGTGTGTTGAGCTAGGGGTTTTGAATGAAAAGATTAGGGTAGGCCTTTGTTAACAAATCCTAGGTTCCTGAGCAGTACCCTTTTGCACTTTTTGTTTTCGGGTCCCCCTTATTCAAACTGAATAGCAGGACAAAAAATGGTACCCTTATGGGGCTACTCAGGAACTTAGAATCTAGAGCTTGACGCAATGGTTCGGGAGGCACGCACTCCCCAGCCCCCTCCGTGGGAGCTGTTGGAAGGACTGGTTGGTGGTCTTGCATCGGATTCGACCGGATGGGTCTTAGGCAGTCCAGGCCCTACGAACACAGTCACAGCCCATCGTGTACATACGACAGATTCTCCCCGCAGTTTAAACTCCAATCGATTTATCCACTAGAACCCTACCACAAAACAGAACCTGAACACAGATGAGCCTTATCCCTAAAGCCCTAAGCCTAAAGCCCTAAACACCCCCAACAGCCTAAAGTCACCTCCTAAGCCCAAAGCCCCCGCAAACCCTAAACGCTGACGAATGTAACCCTTAAAGCCCTACCCGTATCCCCAAATCCTTGAAAATAGTAGGTTATGACTCCTCAACTAGAGGGCCAACCCCAAAACAGTAGGTTTTTTGGATTTTCAGGTACACCCCTAAGAGCCTTAGAGTTCCCAGGCACAATGAGACAAAAGTCGGAGTCCGAGTACATCGCGCAGCACTTCAACAACGATTGGATCCTCTGCTGCGCACGGGAGGGGGCTTAGGTTTTAAGTTTAGGGTTTACGGGTTTGAGGGTTTGGGTTGTAGGGTTTACGGTTTAGGCTTTAAGGTTTTAGGGCTTAGGGCTTCAGGTTTATTTAGGGCTTTTGAGTTTGGATTTCAGGGAGTTCGAGTCGCCCGTGTCACGTCTGTGAGGTGAAGCAGTTTTTGGGCATGTGCGGCACAGTTTTGTAAGGAACGTCAGTTTAGGGGACGTGACTAGACACATTCAGAACAACAGTGTCACTATTCGTAGTTAGTTATAGTTTTGCAAACTTGACAACAGCGAGACAGCACAGACAAAGTGTTCACAACAATCGTCACACTCCCTTGCATCTTCAGTCATAGTCGTAATGCTAGCAGCGCTTAGCTAACATCCGTCAGAATGGGAATTATGATCACTTCCACTGCTGAAACCAACGGTCGAATCTTAACCTGCTTGGAGGATCATGGAGTAAGGTTATAAGTACCCTAATTGGGGTTACAAGTATGGTTACCCTAATAATAACCCAAGTTACTAAGTCCCATGATCCTTTAAGTGACCACCCAATGCACACCGTGAATGCTGGACACCAAAAATCCGCGAAGACTGGAGGTCCTTGGAGCTAGCACCGTGAACTAGCTTAGTAGCTGAGTGGATACACTTTACACTTTTTGGGATATAATTATCCACTATAAAACTGAAGGTGTACACTGTTTTGGGGCTTATGAACTCAGCAACTAAGTTAGGGACCCCGGAAGCGAGTGAGCTCACGGAGCTGAAAATGTCATGGGCACCTCTGCTATTAAGTCGCCAGGTCAACCCTAACCCCAGAATACCCTTTCATGGGTTGCTATAAGTGGTGTCATAAGCAGGAAGACAAATGCTATAAACCATGTGAGGCTACTTATGCTACCCATGAACCTCCAACTACCTGTCAACCTTGGCTTTGCTCGGAGTCCGGCACTATTCCTAGAGTCTAGTTCTGTATTAAAGTCGAGACTTGAAATGGCTGGCTTTTCCAAGGAAGTCGATGGTGGAAATCCTCAGTAGCAACACGGAGGCGGCTCTATATTGAGCTTGGTTGGGATGTTCAGTGCAGCCTCGAAGCACTTTGTGACTTGAGCGTGGGCTTGGGGCCTTTTCTTCGCTTTTAGTTTAGACCCTGAATCCTAAACCCGAGTATATTCGTGACTGGCCGAGGTAGGATTCCAAAGAATCTCGGAGGGTTTTTGGGTTGCAGGGCAGACAAAGCCTCGGATTTGCTGGTTCTCAGGGTTTGCAGTGTTTAGGGTTGGGGTGTGTCTGGGGAACAGGCTGTGGAGTAAGAGACGTACGGGGAACCGCAAGTGACTTTCGACTTACCTCGCCTCGCTTCCAATCTGCAACTGAAAGTTTATTCAGCCCTAGCACACTCAGCGCCAGTGCCAACATAAGTTGACACCAGGTGCCGCCTTCGTCCAAATCCCCGCATGGATCCCAAGAAAGACCATTTGTGATCTTCATGTTTGTAACAGCTTTTGGTTTGGGGTTTAACGTCAGTTGTCCTTAACTCTCCGCTTTAGCCCTCAGGGCATCAATACATGTTGAACTGCTATAAACCAGACACCTGCGTCTTCGCACCTGCGTCAGAAGCACGGTATCCTTCAGTTATTTCGCTCAGTCAACGAAACCCTAAACCCTAAACCCTACAACCCTAAAAGTCACCATAAGAAGCTTAAGCCAGCCGCCCCACGCCCTAACCACTAGCTCTGAACCGCTGACCCCAGCCTGAATACCCAGAGACTCCATCATCCCTTAATTAAGGAATATGAGTTTAGGGTTTAGGAGCCTTAAAGTTATAGTAGGGGTACCTATAATGATCTAAGGATGGAATATGAGGGTTGAGGTGCTTAAGTTATAGTAGGGGTACCTAAAATGATCTAAAGTATATTCCTTAAATTTAGGGGATAATGGAGTCTCTGAATACCTGGCAGCCCACTCTCCGCAGGATTTGGCCGTTGGCATGCACAACTTGCTCCTCCGAATGAGTGACTTGATGATTTGGGTTCATTTAACGGGTTCCTTCACGGAATGTCTAGTAGGGTTCTATAGTATAGGGGTCTTAATAGTTAGAATAGGGTTTGGGGTAGATTACATTATAGTTATAATCAGAACCCCCAAAACCCTGTTCTAATTAATAAGGCCCCCACAATACGGTTCAGTGCTAAGAGACTTGTAGCCAAAGCCAAAGCCCTACGTTGCATCAGGCCTTGTGGGGGTCTTGTCAAATGCCCGTAAACCTCATGTACCTTACAAGCCCTATAAATCCCATCAAAGATGTAAGCCGTATAAATGCTGTAAAGTTAGAGTTCCGCGCTGTAAGTTCTAAAGCTGTTATCGTTTAAGACGACGGGGCTTCAGGGTTTACGGTCGTAGTGTTTAAGGTTTAAAGGGTCTCCAGCTTGAAGTTTAAGACCGAGCAACCGCCTTGAGGGGTGCAGGAAGGGTTCAAGTGGTTTCTCTAGACAGCCCTGAAGCGTCAGGAAATTGAAGCCCCAAAGTCTATCCTGTACGCCCTGGAACATAAAACCTTAGACATGTGACCCTTGAGATTGCAAGGGTTCGCATTTGACCTGGGTTTACCTGGGTTTGCATGGATTGTTGTGTGCATGTGATCTCGATGTCACTCTCCGACGCAGACGGCTGAGCAGGGCAAGGACTCTTGACGCTTCGAGGTCCGAAGGACCCACTGAGGTTAAGGATTTAGGGCTTATAGGGTTAAGGGTTTTGGGCTTTGGTTTAAGGGTACTGCGAGTTTGGAGGTGGCAAAACTTGTAAGAGCTCCACCCTCACATCGCCTCAGGCCGAGTCTCCTTCCTCCCAGAATAGCCGTGACGTCGTACTCCGAAGCCTGGACCCTGCACCATTAAAACATGCGCAGCTTTCATAGGCCGCTCTTCAAACACTCGGACTGAAAGCTCCGAAGCCCAAGACCCTAAAAGCCATCATAGCCGCCCTAAAATTGTTCATGCCCGCTCGAAAGCCCTAAACCGCATGCGTTAAGTCCTACAATCTTCAACCCTCCCCGACCGCCTGCCAGCTGAATCTTATAATTATCCATTCACCCCATAAGGCAGAGAAGTTGAGCCCGTTTTGGGTACCCGAAATATTAGGTGCCGTATTATCATAGGGACCCAGAAAAGGGCCCCTAATTTTGACAACCGCCCACATGGCCGCTTTGACGGTGCGCGTCTCCCGCCTCAGCGGCCACGCCTGCGAAGTCCAAGCTGCGGCCGACTGGACCCTGGCAGATCTCCGCCGGGCCGCAGAAGCAGAGCTCGGAGGTGCATCCTTGGACCGTAAAATATATGGGGGCCTTAATATTATTACCTATACTATTTTTTGGGAGTCCCTCATTATAACTAGAGTATAATGTATCCCGAAACCCTATTCTATTAAGGCCCCTACAGTACAGGGGGTCCTCTGCAAGGTTCTATCAAGGCTCTAAAGGCATTCTGCAAGAGTTCTATCAGGGCTCTTGAACTGGGCTCTCGCTGTTAAGGAGTTTACTTGAAGCTGCCATGGTAAGGCAACCATATGCTTTACTATAGATCCCTATCATGGTAGCTGAAATACAGTTGCTCAAAAAAAAGGTCAACCTCTAGCGATGAAATTTGGTTCTTGGGCTTGCGGGTCTTGGGCTCTTTCGATTGCCTTGACACTGAAACTTCGGCATTCCCCAGAGCCCAAAACCACTCAAACAGCTAAGCAGCTAAGCATCCTAAACTTTCCTAAACCCTTGATTCCCTTGATTTTGAGGAGTATGCCGAGTATATGCCTAAGATCATCATGTTCAGCAATCCATGGTTCAAGGTGTGCTCTTTAGGGGGAGTTGGGCTCTTGTCGTCCATACATTTGGTGTCGACTCCTATAAAGTTGGATCAGGGACCAAAAATTCAGACGCCCACACTTGAGCCTGCCCCTTTGAACAATGCTACCGAGAATATTTCGAATTTATGTGCTACAAGTCCTAGGACAGGTCCAGGATTTAGCGGTTTCTGCAGTGCTGGAATCAACAGAGCTTCCGCCATTTGAGGTTTGGCTTAGAATTTTGGGTTCCGAAACCCTACAGTCCCTACAGCCCAAGCCGCAGCGAACATGTGTCTGGAGAGGTTTGAGTCAAATCGTCCGAGAATCTGGCGAACTCCTGGCGGATGCCTCTGCGCTCAGCGATGTGGGAGTCGAGGACATGGAAACGGCGCTTCGCATGATGTGTTATATGTAGCCGAAGAAACCTCCTTTATTTGTAGTGTTCCTCTTTTTGTGGCTTCTATGTGTACATCTATTATATAATATAGCTATATATATATACACGTTATATGTATATATACTACTTAAAAAAGGTAGCTTTTATTGGGGTCCACAGGAACAGTGTAGCATCCAAGGGTCACGAGAACCCGAAAAGTCCAAGAGGCCTTTCACACCAAGGGT